TATATATATATATATATATATTAAATTATAGTTGACATTCAATATTATTCAGCTTCAGGTGCACACTGCAGTGGTCAGGCACCTACACCATCCATGAAGTGCTCTCTCTAATAATACATGTGTGCATCTGACACCCTACAAAATCTTTACAACATTAGCGATTATATTCCCCCAAACTGTCTTTCATATCCCTGTGGCAATATTATGACTACTAAAAAAGTCAGGTGACGTCACGGAAATGGCGGCGTGAGGGGGGGCTTCTTGAAATCTCCCCTGGAAGTGACCCTACAGTTTTGACATTCTGGCTTCTTTATGCTGGCAGATGTGTTGGCCGTTGTCATTATGAAGGGGAATTAACGCAGCCTTGGGTGCAGGTTTTGGTGAGAGGGAAGGGGGAACCCTGGAGGTGGATTGGCTTTGTTTCCATGGAATTGCAGTAGTGGGGTAAGCATTTGCTCTTGGCTCCAAGTGCACCCTCTCTTGCTGCCCGTTTTCTCAATGACGGTTCTACAACATCCCCAGTGATGCAGCCAGATGCTGATCCCTCAGCATCCAGGGTTCCTGCTAGTGGGTTCCATAAGCACAGTATCAGGGCTCAATTTGAGTTGATCAGTCACAGAGGAAGGCAAGCAAGATAGGCTTGAACACTGTAAGCCCTTCCAGTTCTTAATTATAGAGGTATTGTCTACATTTTCCACTAATTATCATTATATCCTGGATTTTGGTTTTCTTTGAAGAATATTTTCCCCATATTTGGGAACTAACATCACATGTGTAACTCACACACAGGTGTGTAGTATGTCCATGAGGGGATGCCAGTGGGTGGTGGAGAAAAGATATTGATGGGTGAAAAACAGATGGTTCTGGTCTCTCATTCATCAGAAAGCAACAGATATCAGCCCCCATCCAGGGCCTCCAGCCAGCACTGTCACTGCATTGCCTCACTAGCAGAAAGAACTTGCTGTGTTGGGCAGTACAACTTCAAAGCTAAGCCCAGGTCTGGAAGGGCAGAGCATTATTTCAGTACCAGCTCCACTTTGACCAGCCAGTGGTTGGTTCCTATCACTTATGCTTGTAGATTTGGTTATTCCACAAGAAAGCACAAATCCTCCCAGGTGGAGACCTAGGACTCTCATCTAGGAGTCCCAAGCATTTTGTGTTTGTTTGGTTGTTTGTCTCACAGGAAGACTTAACACCCAGAGCTTAATACACAGTGGATGCTCAAATACTTGTGAAAGTAAGAGAGATAAATAATAGGTGTCAGAGGTCTTTCTTCTAAATCAAGCAATATGCTTTAGGGCCTATTGTTTCTATTGCAAGACAGGTCTTTTGTTTGGTGTCTAATTGATGCTTTGGGCCCATTGTCTACTGTTCCCACTGGTGAATACAGGCTCCATCCATAGCAGGGAATAGATAGAGAAATGACACACAAGATTTCAAAACATTTTGAGAACAAGGAGGATCAAATTCTATTTGGATGCCAGAAAAACTTGTTCTCAGACATGCTGGGACAGAAGAACAAGTCTACATAGTATATTTTACCACCTTAACCCATTAAGAACTAGCTTCCAAGTAATGAGACCACTGTAAGCCATTGGTTAGTGTTCAGTGAAAGACGGAGGAGGGAGACGTGCATGCAACTTCGCTGAGCCCAGTGCCCAGGGACGTCCAGTGGAGTAACCTAAGGGGCAGTGGCCTGAGACATCCTGGGAGAGGGGCCTGGCCTGCCACTGCATGGGGCCAGCATGTGGGTGGCACCACTTCTAAATGGACTTCTTTGTTTCTAGACAACGTCCTGCCCTTGGAGAATGTCTGGCTTCCCTGGCAGCTGCCATCCCAGTGGCATTCCTGGAGCCCACCCTTAACCGCTACAATCCACTCTCAGTCTTCAACACCAAAACCCCCAGGGAGAGATCTAGTAAGTATCTTCCCACAGAGGTCATCCACCCATGTGCTGGGAGGAGAGCAGCCAGAAAGGAAGGCCACGCAGGCAGGGAGCAGCAGCTCTGCACACTAATGGTTTACACAGCCTGAGAGGGGCTGGGCGGTCAGAGCTGAGACTGTGTTGCATGTATCCCTCTTACTGGAAAAGTGGGCATGGGCAAGTCCTTTATTATCATTAGACTTTGGTTCCTCCCGTATAAAATGAGGAGACAACATAGTGGATTTCTAAATCCCTTCCCTCCGAAAACCTCAGGTCCTCTGGTCTACCCTGGATCTCAGTTCCCCTCCTGCACGTGGAGATAGGACGACTTGTTCACTAGTTCCTCTCCACAGTGTCAACACAAGAGGCACATGTGCACAAATAGCCTAATTATACTCTTCAAGTTCAAGTCCAAAGAGACACTGTTTCCAAAGATGATGACCACACGTTCTCCATCTTCATGGAAAAATAAAGCATAGAAAAACACCAGAGGGAACTGACATCATACAAGAAACAAAATTGAACCTGAGCATTGATGCCCTTAGTTCTAGGACAGCAGTCGGCAAACTATGACCATGAGCCAAACCTGTCGCACTGCCTGTTTTGGAAAATAATGTCTTACTGGAACATGGTCACACCCACTCATTTACATATTGTCTGTGGCTGCTTCAGCACTATGTTGCAGAGGGGAAAAGAATTGTTCTTGGCTGAAACCCCCTGTAGAGAAGACAGATTAACAGGAAAAAACTGAAACTATTTTAATCACATACACATGTTTGTACAGGAACCCCTCAAAGATGTGAGACTCAGGTGGCCAGAGAATTGAACCTTATATACCATCTTGAGCTAAGGAAAGGGATAGGGGTCTGGGGCTTCAAAGGGAAAGAGGCAATTCACAGGAACTAGAGAAGAAGAAAGTTGATAAATGTTGTCTCTCAGGTGAAAAAGTTATGTTTGGTTATAGCTCTCTTCCTGGTAGGCCCTGCCCCCCCCCTCCTCCACCATTCTAATGTAAATTTATTTTATAAATATAGGTTTCCCTGACAAAAGGGTAACTTCTCTTTTTCCCAGAGCTTCTCCTTATGCAGTTTCTTAAAAATAATCAGCTCAAAATAATCTTAATGCCAAAGAGGCATATTTGGGGGTGGCACGCACTGCTGCCCTCCCACTGCAGAGCTTAGTAGTGGCGGCAAAGACTGTCTGGCCTGAGGCTCTTCAAATGTTTACTGTCTGGCCCTTTACAGAAAAGGTTTTCCTCCCCCTATTCTAGACAACTTAGAACTGGAATCCAATGCAAGTGGTAAAGCTGCTTCTGGAGGGTGGAAGTCCTCAGAGGACTGCCGAAGGGCCGTAGAATAGACGAGCTTTGAGCAGGAACCTCAAATTAAGCTTAGACTTCAACTACAATGATTTGATGTAACGTGAAGCAAAAATTTCCACTCCATGGTCTAATCGATATTAAGAAAATTTTTTAAAAAAATAGTAAACTCTTTCAAACCAGAACCATCCTATTCAAAACCAATATTTCTTTAAAGTATTAATAGGTCATACCGGTAGGTGACTAGACTGCATAGCAATTCCATGTAGTTCAAGCCCCCCTTCCAAACTGTTGTGAGATCCTGAGGGAGAGAATTCTAAGAGCATACGGGTTCACACTGAAACAGGAAAAGAGGGTCCTTGGCTTCCTGTAGGAGCGAATTCAAACGTGAGCCGATATAGAGTTTAAAGAAAAAGTAAGTTTATTTTGCAGAGAGTAACTAAGAAAACAAAGGCCACTCCATGGATGGAGTGGTGGCCTCTAATAGCTAGTGAAAGACTCCCTCCATCCCCCGGGCTAGGGTTTATATGTGCTTTCTGCGTCCATGGAAAATTCGTTGGTATAGGGGGAAAGGAGAATAGAAGAATAATGGTGAGTTTATCTTTAACTTCAGTAAGATGCAGGAATAGGGGCAGGTTTGTCTTTAACCCTTGTAAAGCACAACGTGTGTTTTCTCTCCTGGTGTTAGCTACAGGGATGGCTCTAATGGAATCTCTAGCCTTCCGAAGAGATTGCTCTGTGTCATTGATTAATGTCTGCCTGAGTGCTGTGCTTGGAGCACGTAGGCAGCAGGCTTGGAATCCAGCCTCTTAGTTTCTTTTTCTATAAAAATAGCCCTCATGCCTCTTCCCTATATTCATGCTACGCTTTGTCAGCATGCTTTCCTTCTAAGAATGCAGAGTGCTAGGCTATGGCAGCTTTATTTCCATTTGCTTTTGTTACTTCAGATAAAAGAAGCACATTGCCCCCAGAAGTGATCACCAGGATAATTTAGCCAAGTCTGCTTCGTGAAATTCTTTCCCTGAGCAAGAATACAGTGGAGATTAGTGTTCTCAGAGTTGGTTCAGACAAACATTGCTGAGATGCTTCCACTTTCCAAAGTCTCGTATACAGTCTTGAAGTTCATTCCCCAACCTCTCAGCCTCATCTCAATCTTTCTCCCTTTTCTTGGACTAGCAAAAATACATTTCCAACCTTGCTTTTTTTTCCCCACCCTCTTATGATTCCAAATGAGTCACATCTTGCAGCTGAGTGGGAGCTGAGCATCTGAACAAGCTTTGGTTGAGAAAGGGCCGTGACATCTGAAGGCAAATGCCAGCCCAAGTGTTACTCCCCAACTCCAAAGGGACATGATCCCAGCCGTGACAGTGCTGGATGTCTATATATTCATTCTGCTCCAACTGTGACTCAAGAAATAGTGTGTCTCTGTCTCACCAATGTATAGAGCTGCAATGTATAGACCTCGGGAAAGAGAGAGGCCTACTCTGCTCATAGAGATATAGCAGCAGGCAGAATGAGAATATGACAAAGACAGATAGAGGAACCCTTCAGTTGGCTTTGTTGGAAAGGAGGATGACTATCCCATTGTTCCCCTTGTCAAGGACTATTTGGAAAACGTTCCTTTTTATTTTACATACTTTTACATTGATTTAATAAGACATGTTCATAAATTAAAAAAATAGTATCCATTCTTGCATACTCTAAAGGAAGAAAAGAGACAAGGCTGTGATTAGAGATGACATAGCTCTTCATTCATCAGTGGCATACTGTGGGACTCAGTGCCCAAGTGCCCTGAGCTTATGTTTTGCATCATTCAGTTAATCAACAAAGAGTAAATTCAGATCATGTGTATGGCTCTTGAAAAGTAAAGTGTCCATGAATATGTATTCTGGGATAACCAGGTTAGCCTAGAGCCAGAGAATGACTCATGGCTCAAGGGACGCTAGGAAGGTAGACTCCATTCATTACACTAAGTGGATGGCCTAAGGGATCACAGAGGGGCAGGAATGCATAGAGTGACAAATGATGTGAGTCTTTGGTTTGGAAATACAATATGAACTGATTTATTAAGCCTTCAGTCAATTAGACATCTCTATTAATTGGCAGTTGGTGTTTTGCCAGTGGTAACTCAGATTAGTAACTCTTCAATCCTCTAAGAAAATCCTGGAGCATTTTCTGACTCATCCAAGAATTATTAATAGATGGCTAAAAAGGGTTTAATACTGGTATATGTCAGTCATTCAAAACTAGATAAAATCTTTGGTGATGTGTGACAGTGGTCTATTAATCAGAATAATTAGGTTGGCCAAAACATCCCAGTCACCAAACCCCTCCTGGAAGAATTAACCAGAGAGAAAGGAGGACCAGTTCCCAGGTAAGCTCTCTGCCTTTGCTGCAAAGAGGTGGTGCTCTCTGGTGCCATCTTCTTGAGGGAAGAGCTGCTTGGTGAAGAAAATATAGCTTTAGAATCTAACTCAGTGGTTCTCAAACTCGAGCAGACATCAGAATCACTCGGAAATCTTGTTAGAATAAAGATTGCTGAGCCCTACCAGAGTTGCTAGAGTTTCTAATTCAGTCGCTCCGGATTTAGACGGTCCTAACAAGTTTCCAGGTGATTCTGCCACTACTTCACTTTGAGAACCATTGTTCTACAAGATGAAAGGACACTGTGTCCTAGGCATGCCCCGTGACAGTCTTGTGTCTGATTCAGATAAGACCCAGCTGAGGCTGTAGTTCAGGGAGGTAACTCAGCAGCATTTATTCTGTGGATTTATTATGTGGCATTAGAAGTACAAAATACCATCTGAATCGCAAATGTTTCTTCCACTCAAGGACCAATTACGTATAAATAACTTTTAAAGGTCATTATAATGACTCCAGTGCAGCAACCTCAGTAGCAACTCTATGTTTTTCTTAGGTAGGAAAAAAAAGTGTCCATGATGATGTTTTGTCTGTGTGACATTTGAACACACACACACACAGACACCCCCAAGCCTTCCCATTTATAATTATACGGCACAATTGTAAACTTCACTGGTATCTGTGGTGGTTGGCATTGCTTGTGTGTGCAGAGCTTGAAGGTAGAAAGTTTGACTTCTCTGTCTCTACTGATCTGATATTATTATGTGAAATTATTTTGTTGGGAGAGTCCCCCCAGGCCGCCATGTTAATGTCACCCATGATTGTTGTTACTGTGCTGCAAGGTACAGGCTAGACTTGTTCT